AATATGGTGGTGTTGTGGTACAACTTGTTATGCCAAATCCATAGCTGTCCTGGATAAAATCTTCACTTATGCACTTTTAGATCATGAAACAAGGCCCACAGACTGTGTAATGTTTGTGTTATAGGAATATATGATATTGCAGGGGATGTTCTAATTCTTCGACAGTGTACTTGGCATACGTGATTTGTAACAAATAGTTGAACCAAGCTTTGTTTGCGTAGTCCAGCTGTAGAGAAGGTAATTTATTATGCAGAGATTTTCTGCATTGCTGTGGGATTTTTTTAACAGATCAAATGAGAACAAGCAGAACTCCTTTGCACATGCCTCCTATTCTCATTTCCGACCTCATTCCATGAGACCAGGGATCTTCTCATCAAACTGTTCTTACTTCCTAACCTTTCTGTGCTGAACAAGGCAAATCGTTCTCCCCCAGTTCTTCGTGGATAACTTCTCCAGCAAATTCTTCTAAGGGATTGTTAAATATCTGGAGTGTGAAATTGTGTGGAGACTTTTGAAACAGAAGTGGAAACAGAACATACATTAAAGTCACATGGTATGTGTTTAAACTGTTTGAGGTCTATAACAAGGGACAAAATAAACTTCAGATTAAAACAAGAACTTTATGACTGATAATACCAAACAATTTGGCAAAAAAATGCAGAATATTCCTTTGGAAAAACATCAGTCATGTTAACTACACACAAATTTATTGCTGGTGCTTTTTTCTATACAATCACAGCACTGAAAAACATACTTTGAGCAGAAACTTTTTTCGTATCATGCTTTTTTTTTCAGTGTCTAGGTTTTTTTAAAGTTTTTTTTTTTTCTTGACACTTTGGACTTTTTTTTACTTTAAGTCTTAATCCTGTCTCTTACCCCTATTTCTTGTGCCTGGTGTTAGGAGAATTTTCCTTATCTCTGCACAAATCAGTGCCATTTCCTGCTTTGATAGCAAATAATAGATATCTACTCTGAGTACAACTTCATGAGCAGCTATAGCTGCTTTTGAGCACATATCTTAGGGTGATAACAGAAATCTTTGCTTGCTGGTAAGAAAGTGATGTAGGACTTTGCCTTGGTCAAAATACATAGCATCTACTGTTTACTTGTCATCAAGTAGGGGTTTTACACTGTTTTTGAAAAATCCAATTATTAGTAACCTTTAGCTTTTAAAGATTAAAACCAGATAGTGTATTACAATTATTCAATCCAGAAAGTAGATCTCGAAAAATTATAAAACATAAAATTTCATCTTTCCCCCTTTTCTGGAAAACGTAGTTCTTCCCCTTTCTGAAGTCTTCTGAAGCTCCTCTGCCTTATGTGATTTTAGGTTTTGTTTGTTTGTTTGTTTTAAAAAAACTGCCCATGTTTCAAAGGTTACTCAAAGGAATGTTTTTCCATTTGTAACTTGCCCTTCAGGTAACTTGATTCCCTTTAAACATTATGCAGATAATTCAATACTTTTTATAACTCTCAGCAGTTAGATAGTAGTTGCAATGGGGCTGGAGACAGAGAAGAAAAGAATCAGAACAAGAATTTCCTCATAATATTTACACGTGCATATAAATTACAGTACTGAGGAACAAGGAGTCATTCTTCAGTTTGGTCAGGCTTTTTTTTGTTTGTTTGTTTGTTTGTTTGTTTGTTTTTTCACAAATAAATACAGTTTACCCACATGATAGCACAATAAATCCTAAAGTATTCTGTGCTGCATTTCATCAGCCTTCCAAACTGCACTGTCTGACCTCATAAAAATATTTCCCTTCCAGGTTTTTTTTTTGCCCTGTGCTTTGCCCTGTAGTTTTATCTTCATGTCCAATTTAATTTTGGGCATGTTCGCAGAGCGGATTGCAGGCAGACTTGAACTTTGATCCCTCCGGGAGCCAGCTGGCTGGAGGCCAGCTCCAGCCATGTTGCAGTGCCTGGGCTGATGAGCTGTGCTTCTCAGCAAACACATTAAATGCACCCGAGCACCAGGAAGGCAGGGTCATGGCCTGCAGTTCAGAGGCAGCTTGTGCATGCCCAGTCCAGAGCATCGGCAAGGAGAGCTCATGCCTGTGCGTCATTCCCTGGGCACAAAGACCTTTATCTCCCTCCTTCTGGAGATTCAAACAAGGAAGGCATTTAATAATCTGTAATAGCTGTTGTTTGAACCCCTTTCTCATATTGTAATGTTTGCCTTTTACTGGGGCTTCTTTTTGGCTTACCTTATCACACATTGTTGAAACCTTTTAATATGGCTTATCATGTGCTTTGCTAATTAAAACTCGTGGTCTGTTTTAACTTTTCTGCTTTTATCTCCCTGGTACAGGGAGGCTTAGACTCATTCTTAGTAGCATTATTTATGCTTTTTCCATGATCTCTTCTCTACGCTTAGTTCATTGGAAATTGCCAGTGTGGTTACACTGGCCTGTCACTGCACTTTCTCTCCAGAGATACTCAGACATTTCATACAGTCTCTTTCAAAAACTACCATCTCCCATCCGTCTCTGTCCCTTGGTTACTTTCCCAGGAGACCTCCTCTGCTGGCCCTCATGTTGCTATGCTTGTCTTTGCAGAATACCAGTCTCATTCTATAGTCACTTTCACTCCAACTGCTACACACCCGCAAAGTGTTGGTCAGGTATTCTCTAATGGAAAAAAATCTATTTTGTCTGTTCGCTCATAAGTTTTGTTCACCTTTGGAAAGGAAAAAGCATCCTTGGTGCATTTTTATATTTCTCAGCATTAGTCTGAACGGAGTCTTTGTGCTAGAAGCAGATTCTGACATTAGGATGCACCTTTTTATCCTTCAGAAAAGCCTTGGCCACCTCTGCCTCCTAGTGAGCTAAAGCAGCAATATTTCACAACACTGAAGATCGTGTTCCCTTTCCCATGTTTTGTTTAATGCTCATACTGCCTTCACCTCTGAAGTGCAAGTTCCAATAGAAGTGAAATGTGTTATTTCAAATAAATACTGAAAACAATACGCTGGCTGGGTGTAGCTTTTCATTTATGTATGAAACAAAAGTCTTCCTCTAACATCATTAATATGTAATTGTGAATATATAATGTTTCCTTGTAGCCTGATGGGAAATGAATGCTGAAAGCAATTTTGTGATTTTCTCTAAATCAGAGGATGGAATTTATTTTTTAATCTCAGCTGGGATGGAGTATATGTAATTTGTCAAAAGAAATCCTAAGTATGCATGAGGAGCTTTAATATGGATTTTGCAGCAAGTATATCCACAAATGCAAGAGTTTCAGCTGAGGCACTGCCTGAGCAGATACAGTTTCTATGTATTTAGTAACCCTCCCTTCGTTCTTTTCTTGAGAAGCTCATCTTGAACCTGTAAACAGAGGTTACAGTTACTGTTAGCTGGAAAATGATGTAGCTGTTCCTTTCTTCCTGGGCCTCTCCCAAGGCACACTTCATGCCACTAAGGAAGGACTGTTCTCCCTTCCTGAATTTGTAAACTGTATATTTCAATTATGCTGACTTTTTGCTTTATATGGCTCACATTGTTAAATTACTTTTATAGCTTCTTGCTTCAAAAGTCGCTGAGTACTGCAATTCCGTCTTGAGGGGTTCCTCCCCTTTTTCTATTTGAGCTTATACGTGCTTCTACTGGGCACTTTGATTTTAGTGGTACTGTGAGGAAATCATTTATCAGAGAATTACTTATTCTTGCTCCTTACAAAGTGCCAAACAATTTACAAGAAACACATCTCAGCCTTTGAAATCAGCTTGTGACAGTCCCTTTTTCTACCCTTCAGCTTATTGCTGTTGCTTGCTAAATAGCACGTTCTAAATTGCTTCTATTAAAGTTGATGGGTCAATGTTACAATAGCGAGAGATTTTTCACAATATATATTTAGTTTGACAGTTGTTGTGAATGTGCCACCCTTCAGCCCTGCTGGTTTCCAGATTAGCATTAAAACAATTTTGAGGGAAGTGAGAAGCATTTTTGTGGCTGGGAGCTCTTTGAGAAAAAACTATGAGAAACAGACAGTAAAGCAGAAAGTTTCCTTAAAGAAGAACCTGTGTTTTTAAATACCACTCAAACCAGTCCACAAATTTAATAAGTTTAATTCAACTACTCAAATCTTATGAAGCTCTCTATTATCTGTGTGTGTGTGTGTGTATACATAGGTCAGTCAATCAATCAATTACAGAATATTCTGACTTGGAAGGGACCCACAAAGGTAATTGAGTCCAGCTCTTAAGTGAATGGCCCACACAGTGAAGATGTGTTATGAAAAAAAATGCTATAATTGTTTTAAGTTTAACAAAAATTTTCTATTTTAAAAATGAAGTTATTTGTTTGTAAAATGCCTATATGGTCTTATATTTTTTATTTGTTAGAAGTGAATTATTTTATCAGTGCATTTAGCACAGTTTTTATAAGGATAGTGTTGAAGTAATTGCTGGTAGTTTTATTGTCTTTCTCTTAAAAAAAAAATCCCATTTTAAATCATAATTGGTAAACAATTAGAAAAAAATTGACTGTGGTAAATTTAGTGGCACTTTTAAACAAATAACTTTCAGGAAAGTATATTGATTACTAATCTATAATAATGAAAACTCTTCAAAACCAAGAACTGAATGAACCTCAAAGGATCTCCTGTGTTTACACCTTCTAAAAATTATTCTTCAGGACATGTGACAGATGTGTTTCTAGGGAAGATGTAATCTCACTACCTAACCTTGTGGGTTTTTTTCCCCTAACTTAGAGAATAAAAAGAACCCTTTTTTATTCTTCTTCAGTGTCATTCTGACAGTAGTGTAAAAAACAAGTATATAATAGTAATTTTCTGGTTTGATGCCTACTTCAAAATTGTCAACT